TTCTAGATTTATGTGCAATCCAATTTTATTGGCTAAGATCTATATAAATAAAGTGCCTGGATATAATATTTTCTATTCTCTCTCCAAACAAACAACTCTAAAGAATATCCGCTTTGAGATAGAGGGGGAAAAATGTCATAAACTGAACTTACTTCTTTACCAAGAAGTTTTCCCTGACAGTCTGAATTGTATATCCTTCACTGATATACATACAGCACATGAGCAAAATAGACCCCTTGAGATACAAGATTTCAACATAGACTGGAGACACATTACATATACAGATACACATATACACATACATATTACAAGAGCTGTTTTGAGGGAACCTTGTGAGTTCTATAGTTCAGTTTTTTGCTTAAGCGGGACAAACATTAATGCTATAGTTGGCCTGTCATGGCTTTATCTGGATGAGTCTTGAAAACCTTCAAAGGTGGAGACACTACAGTATCTCTCATAGCTTCTTTCAGTGCTGCAAGGCCATCTTGTTGAATAATATTTTCCTAATGTCTTATCTGAACCTTCCAAGTCACAACATGTGTCCCTTACTCTTGTCTGCTTTATGCTTGCTACTGTAAGGAGAGCTCTGGCTTTGTCACCTTCCTAACTTCAGTTTGTGTAACCATAGGCTGTTCAGCAATATTGTTATACTTTTACTTCATTGCCTTTCTCTGTTCCCATTTCTTGTACACTCCTTCCTTGTGTGTTTTAGTTCATTGAGAAACTCTGACTTAGCCAAACAGGCCTTTTGCCAGGATTTCCAGTCTTCCTGAACAACAGGATGGTTTGTTCTTAAGCTCTCTAGAAGTTTTCTTTAAAAATTAGCCAGGTTTCCTGGGCACCTTTCCCCTTCATGGCTGCTTCCCAGGGAACTCTGCCTAGAATTCCCTAAAAATAACCCAAAATCTGCTCTCCTGAAATGCAAAAATCCTAACCCTGCTGCTTTCCTTCCCAGCCTTCCTTCATATCCTGAGCTCAATCATCATGTGGCTACTGCTACCCAAGCTGCCAACCACGGCTGCACTTTCCATTAGCTCTTCATAGTTTGTGAGCAATAGGTCTGGTAAAGCAGTACTTATGGTTGAGCCTCTAATATTTCTGTGTCATGAAATTATCACACCATAGTCTAGGGTTTTCCTGGAACGTTGCCATATTGTTTGTGTCTACAGGGTTGAAAAACACATAAGGATGAGAGTATAAAATTAAGAGACCTTTACTAGTCATTTTAGAAGACCTCATCTGCTACATCCTCTTGGTCAAGGAGTTCTTACAAACTCTGTTCTTGACCCAGGGACATGCTCAATTTCATTGTTTTTCTATGTTCCTACTTCTTGTACACTCTTTCCTTGTGTGTTTTAGTTCTTTGAGAAACTCAATGACCACATCCTCCAGCTTTATACTGGAGCACTGGACAGTCTGACTTTTAATAACCCCCCCTTCTCTTCTTCCCACCTCATCCTTCCTACAAGTAATGCTTTTACTTATACCTGATCATGAGCATCAGCTGCTGTTCAGCAGGGGGTTATGTTGTACAGAATCCGCATTCAAGTTTTCCAACCTTGATGCCCATTTGTATTTAGCTTGGTGTTTTCACAAGTTATGCAAAACCTGATGTGTTCAATGTTGCATCATATTTTGGACTGAAAAAAAAATCTAGGGCCTGTCCCTCGTATTCATCTGCAATCAGGGGTAGATGAAGTTGTGATCTGAAAGGGGACAACACAGCTGTTCCCTGTGACATGGCTGACAAGCACAGATAAGGTGTGAAATGAGTCAGCGGACAGGCCCCAGCATTAAGATTCAGTTTTCTACCCACACCTGCATTTGCACCCTGGAAAACACAGGAATGCTTAAAACAACAATGACTTTGCCTATACCATGACACTACAGTCATGCTGCACATATGAACATTCAGGCCGAGGAAGAGAAGAAAGAGAACTTATTCTCAACTTCAAAGTTGCCAGTACATTCCTTTAATTCAGGAAACTCTCATAAAAATGTAAATATATCCTATTTCCTATTGTATTCAGTAGTGTCTATATACGTACAGCAATACAGTTCACAGCAATCTTTTATGGAGTTCCAGCCAAGCTAAATGCTTTTGAAATGCTAATGAACACACTGAAACAATTCTTCATAACCCAAAACACTGCCATGCACTCAATAAAAGGAAAGCATCCTTAGGAAAGACTGACTGTCTCGCTTCACATGGGAAACACTGTACAGGTTTGCTTTTGTAGAACTTGTTAGTGGAAATCCAGCACCACCTTCAAGTTAGTCCTCATGTGAATTTTGTTATATGCCTGATTATTTATAAAGCAGCTAATTTAAAATGTGTTTCAGCTACAAATAAGGAAAATTATACTTGCAGTCCATGTAATAAGCTGTAAGTGAGACTGTATGTGGCTTGCATATCCCTCTTGAATTTGTGATGCCAAGCAAATTTCCTTCTCAACAGACATAGGAATGCAGCATCCTGACAGAAAAGGTACAAATATATGTGTGCATAATCAGATATCCCCTGAAACGTTATGAATCTATAATGTCAATGAAAAGGTATTTTAAATTACTTTGGATTTATTGTCTCTTAATCTTACAGTGAATGACAATTGTTGAGAATTCATGTTTTCTGTATTTACTACTTGCTGACAAGACAAAGAGCTTTCTGGACACCAGGTTACAGGATATTGCTGATAGTGCCATTGTTGATGTTCTATGCGAAGCAAGGTTTGTATGGAAAATAAAATATTTCCAAGCAGAAATGCAAAATATAAATTCCTTTGCCCCCTCATTTCCACAACTTTGAACCTATTGGCCAGTTTTATCCAACAGGGACATCAGAGATCTCACATGAAAAGCTTCCATGTGTTCATTTCTAGAGGGACTCCAGTTTTGTTCCACTTTAGGTAAAGGTTATAATGTGATCTTGCACCTCAAGGACATCTGAAAGAGCATCCTGAGTGTCTTGGGTTTAGGAAAAAATTTGGCCACATCTATAGATAAAGAGTCTAGTCAGGAGAAAAAAAGTTATTAAGGGCACGTTAAGAATGTTTCTCTTATGGCATATGTACATAGCAAGTCAGCAGCTCACATAAACGAAACCAGATGTGCTGCACAGATGTTGAATGGTCTGATTTTACTGCACACGTGCTTTGCAGTTGCTGTGTGCACATGCAGCACAACTTGTGTGTGGTAGACACTGAACATCAGCTACAGGGATCTGGGAAACAAACTTCCACTTGTTACAATAACTTCAAAAGCTCGCAGAGTTCCTTGTTTACTTGCACAAAGCTGTTTCTCTTGATACTTTAAATCTATCAAGGCCATCAGGACGATCACTTCCTTCAAACACTGTGAAGATCTGTAGTGCATAATTCTCGTTGCTTCCCAATTGGCTCCTGCCTTTTAGATGGGATCACAGAGCACCTCAAACTTGCATGCTACAAATATCACCCACTGCTGTCAAAGGAGTTCAAGGCAACATAGTTCTAAGTCCAGGATGGTGGGTGGTCTTCCTAGACTCTTGGCTTTCTGCACTATGTGAACAATCTCCAGTAGCATCTTAAACAAAACAAATTATTTGTCATGTGTTTGGTCCCCACTTTAAAAAATCAGGCGCAGCTTTTGAAAAATCAGGCAATTTCAGATTGCCTCCCGGGAAATAAGCAGAGCAGCACTGTTTGCTGCATTAGTGTGTCCTACTCCAGAGGAAACTGGGGAGCCACCCAGCTGATTTATTCTTGGTGACAAGTACCTTTGGAAAGAACAGATCAGCATCATTCTATGCAGAAGCCACTGCTAGAAATGGCATTATCAGAAAGCTTCTGAACATTTACCAGTCCAAAAATCAAGCAGAATCACATTAGAGACAGTTTTGATCAGAGGGAAAAGACTAATTTCAACTATTTACAATTTGAATGAACTTTTTAAGAAGCGGAATGTTTAATTTATCCTTAGGTTCTACAAAAATAGCCATTACTAATTTAAAATTTTCCTCTGTTTGAATCTTACAGTTTTTGTTTTCTATTTTAAGCTCATGAAAGTGGGGCCAAAATCAGCTCTCAAGTAATTCAAATGTCCCAAGCAGCCTACCAAGCTGAGCAGTTCTATGCTTCTAGAGCATGATCTGATAGCTAACCCTACCTCCCAGTTTTGGGAGTACGAGAAAAGATGCACAGTCCTGGGCACTTGCTATGCCCAAGCTTACCCAGCCTTATCCTGGAGTGGGAATCCTGGAAAATCACTGTCCTGCCTATTCAGTCTTCCACACAAAGGAAGTAAGCAAATGATCCCATCTGCTGGTTGTTGGTCAAATGAAGACTGTACAGCATAACTTGCAAGACCAGGTGTATCGGAGACAGAAGATTTGTTACCTTTTCTCCCAAAAATCACAGAATCATGGAATATCTCAAGTCAGAAGGACCCATAGGGATCATGGAATCCAACTGCTTGCTCCTTGCAGGACTACATAATGCTAAACCATATGGCTAACAGCATTGCCAAGCTACTCCTTAATCTCTGGTAGGCTTGGTGCTGTGATCCCTTCCCTGGGGTGCCTGTTCCAGTGACCGATCACCCTCTCAGTGAAGAACCTTTTGCTGCTGTCCAGTCTGCACTTCCCCTGATGCAGCTTCATTCCCTTTCCTTGTGTCCTATTACTGGTCACCAGAGAGAGGGGTTCAGCACCTCTCCCTCCACTGCCCTTTGTAGGGGGGAACTTGTAGACTGCAGTAAGGGCACCCTCAGCCTTTGTTTTTCCAAGCTGAACAAACCAGGTCACCTCAGCTGCTCCTTATAAATCTTGCCCTCAAGGTCTTTCACCACCTTAGAGTTGCCCTCCAGTGAACACACTCTAAAAGTCTGATGTGCTGAATGGGTTAGTTCACCAATCCTTCACTGATACTATAAATGGAATTAGCTGAGGTAGTGCAGCTTTTGCTGGGAGAGAGAGACTGTGAGATATCTCATTTTGTCAGTCAAAATCACTGCTTATTAGCTAACCTGAAGGGAGTGAGAACAACAGATTAACTCAGATTCTGTCAGAGAAAGAAAAGAGCAATTTTTTAACAATTCAGATTATTCAGTCTTTCCTAAAGTGATTGCTAGCACTGCTACTGGAAGTGTGTTTTATGTTACAGGAACATGGTAGTTATAGTCAGTCCCTCAACATCTTTATAATTTCAATCCAACTTACAGCCACCAGAACTAAATGAGATCAGAGCGAGGTCATAATAGTACATTCATTAATAGAACAGGATTCTATTTGGAAAGTGTAAAACATCTGAGATTCATCAATTGTATTTAAAAATTGGAACATAGTGTGTTGTTTTTGTTGACATTTGTTGCACTTCTAGTGAACAAAAAGGCTGGAAGGATACTAACAGGAAATTCTGTTCACAAGATAAGCAGCTGTTAGCCTCCAAAGCTTCAAAAGTTCATAAAGACTGAAAAAAAATTGTCTCTGTGTCTGATTTAATGAATAGTCAGCATTCCACATCAGCCAAAGGAAATGCTTCGGGGACAGTTTTTACATAGGCAATCAAATCTTGTGTTTGTGTGAAGAAGGACAGAGCTTGCCATTTGTTTGTGAAACAGCAGTTTCAAAGGTTATGCTTTCACCACAAAAATCTTGAACTGTTTTCATTCCAAAATACTTGAGAACCAGCCTATTTTGTAACTTACTGTTTAATTTCTGGAAAGAGACTTGGTCCAGAACATGTCATTGTTTTCATATTGGAAACCTTCATTATTTTAATGCACATTTCTTGAAAAGTGTTCTAGTCTGGCTCATAGTCACCCACAAAGCAGCTAACAGAACTGCTGCAGTCTTTTTGTCTTCTGTTTGTGGCCCACAGATGCTAGAGCTTTCAAGTAAATCCACACAGGAAAGAATAACAAAGGAGGCAAGTCAGTTGTAGACTGCATGATCCATTAGTAAGGTCATAAAATGGTTATGTCTTCAGCAAATTTCTCAGTACTGTGCAGTGAGATACATCTTTAGCTGACGTAGGTGGCATAACCTCATTTATTACTGCTATACTAATTTACATTAGCCAAAGCTTTGGACCTGGTGAGTCACTGTTAACTCTGGGAAAATTCCATGTTTCTTTGGAAACATTTTTTCTTGGAAAAGTGGCATTGGATTTTTGCATATAAAATGCGTCCAAGGGCTGTCCTTGATAGCAAACAAGTGGTAAATTTAACTTTGGACATTATGATTTCATATGAAATAATGAAAATAAAAATTAAATTGAACAAGTTAGTGCAAGATGATCTATTTCTAGTAAGGTGGTAAAATTTTAGAGCCCTGAATTCCTTTCAGTGGAAAAAAAACAACCTGTAAGGAGCTTGGCATTCATGAAATCTTAATCCAAAAGGTAATAATTCACGTACATTGCAGAAAGATTGACATAATAACTTCAAAACTTTCACAAACCCAGTGACAGAAGACATGTCAGGCCTTCAATCAAGCTGCTCTTCAGTTCTTTTTAATATATAAGAAGAAAAGTTTGTGTTCTGTTAAAGTTTGGTAACCTGACAATGGAGTCTGGCAGCCTAGGCAAGACAGAATAATTACAAAATGCCATACTAATTGCTTGCACAAACTATCATTGATAAATTGAGAATTTTCTCAAGCATTATGAAATTATGGAGCAGAGGACCACACAGCTGCTCTGACAGTGCATTCAAGCTGCTTTTGGGCCACGGCCATTCCAGATTGACAGGCACTTGAGTATTCAGCTGCCTTGGACCAGAACAGATCCAGTAGGTCTAACCATTGTCTCTGATTTCCCTATCACTAATGCAGCCTCAGGAGGTGCAGGTGTAACTGATGTTGGAAATGACACTGTGAAAAGGGGAAAAACATTTTTTCAGGACCATCCTGGTTTCAACATAACAAATTATACTTTTATCTGTATTTAGCATGCTGTTTTATTAATAATGTCTAAAAGTCCAAAAAAGTAGAAATGAGTTGTGACATTAATATATATTGATTCCTGGCTTCACATTTGAAAATATATTTTCTCTGGAAAAAGTTGAATAGTTTTATTTTCTTCTTCTTCTTTTTGTTGTTTTGTTTTTAATATAAAAAGCTCTTTTCAAAACGGAAATAGATGTTTCAGTTTTGTTTGAGCTTGAAAGCAGTATTTTGTTGGCAGAGAGGATGTTCTTTGAATTTTGTTATGTGTTTCATTAATGTGTATTTATATAGAAAAATTTATATAAAATTTTCCTAATTAAAATTCACTGCAATGTTTCAGAAATATATTTAAATGTCTAGTCTACAGGAAAATTTAATTTCCCATAGATCACATTTTAAATTAGTCGTCTATATTTTTGAATGGGCACACTTCAAGACTGAACCACCGCACTAGATCATACCTCACTGAACTTGGACAGAAATGAAATCTTTTATTTCATCCCTTTTTTCCTGACCTGGGTGTTTGTACTGCTTTCCTCAGAGGCAGTACTGGGGCAAGCTGAAGTTCCTGCCTTCCCATTGCAAAAAGCAGCCCTCTGCTAGCTGAATGCTGGTACGTGGTACATTTTTACAGCTGTATCACTGGATTAAGTCAGTAGATTCTTGTGCTTTTATTTATAATAGTATTTTCATTTGTGTCTCTCCCAAAAGCTTCTGTGGAAGTGGTTAGACTCCTGCTTTGTTCAATGGGAAAATCCAATCTAACCTTTGTCTGCGACTCAAACACAAAACTAAGCATATCACACTTAGCTGAGGTGCTGTCTGAGGCTGCCTGCCAGTGCTCTTCCAGAAAATGCTCAAATTCAGCTTTCCAAGCTGTCCTGCAAACTCATCCAGACAGCTGACAAGAAGTTTTTTTAAGCAATGGCAAGTCTGAGATTTGCTAAGACAGAAAGGGAAGGCAGCTGTTTTCAGTTATCAGAGATAATTTGAATATGACCAGGTATTTCCTGCTGGGTATAGATAGACTGAGCACCACAGGAAGAGGGAGCAGCAACTTTTAGAGGGAGGCATTACTGCTTGCTTTGCTGTCACCAGGCACATTTACCTGTGTTCATGATATCTTTCTTCACTCAGAGAACCCAGAATACTTGTGAAGTAGCGTGTTTCAGCCTACACTGAAATACTCAAAGACAAGTTGTCTTTCCCTCCCACTTGCTTCTCAAAAATCAGTCTGGTATTTTGTAGGGTAAATTTTCACTTCAGTATGGCATCATCCATGTCACTGTTGTATGGACTGTTACTGAGCTAACCATACCATGACACATCCTCAACTCCTATTTCTCAACAGACCTTGGTAAATACAGTTATATAAAAGATACCATTTGCTCCAGCTCATAAATCATATAAACTTTCTGTATCCACTTGTTAAGTCAACTGCGTCAAAAGATTTCATTTTCCCCTTCCTTTCCCTTAAGCGATTGCTTACATACAAGCAAAACGCTGTCTGATGTTTTGATGTTTGTTGACTCCTTCCCCTTGCAACTTTGAAAACTTCTTCCTATGTTACCTACGTGATGTTTGTTCGTCTGGAAATAGAATAGGAAAGCAGTTGAAGCTGTGAGGCTCTTTGTGATGTAGATAGAAATCCAGCTGCTCTCCTGCGTCCCTAACCCTTTTCCCATTGCTCATAATTCAAATTCCTTTTGGCTTCAATTTTCCACACTCAACTTCAGTACAAAAGTGATTATGTTGGACGTCTGAGTAAAACCTGTTGAGCCATTTTTGAATGATTCAAGTGTGAAAAAATACTGCCAAATGCCCTGACCAAATATAAATAAACAGAGGGAAAATTTACAGCCTTTCCTTTTCTTTGGTTTTGTTTGGGTTTGTGTTTTGGGGCTTTTTGGGGGGGGGGTGTTTTTTAGGTATTTTGTTTGGGGTTTTTTTTGTTGGAGTTTTTTGGTTTTTTTCTTTTTTTTTTTAGTTGGTTGGTTTGTTTTGTTTTGTTTTGTTTTTGCTGTAGAGGTCACTGAAGAAAGTTTCTCAAGCATTTTAAGAAAGGAAAGTTTAGAATGGGAAATTCTGTCACCCCATGTACAGCAGCAACTCCCAAAACCAATCTCATATCTTCTACTTTTCCCCAGTTCTACAGCCTCAGTTCAAAGCTTTACCCTTAAGTGCGTGTAGGCACACAAGTAAAGGGCATCATTCCATATGTGCTGTCTGTGCTGACAGCAGCATAATTTAAGTTTCCTCTCTGCTTGATGGAAGTTTACCACTGTGCTAAAAAGGGAAACCCAAAGCAACACACTGCTTTCTGTTCCAACTGAACTTTGTTCATCCAAACAAAGTGTCTGAAGGGAAGACAGGGCAAGGACACTACCGGGCAAGGCCTTCCTCTCAAGGGCTATCTAGAGCTTTATGTCTGGAGATCAGAGGAGATGTTCAATAACTAAAGATAGGGTCTTAAAATAAACGCCAAAATGTCAGCCCAAAGAGCTACAGGTTAATCTGTCCCACTTTGATGATCCCTGGGGAGATAACTAAGCATGGATTTACCAAGGGTAAATTAGGCCTGACCCACCCAATTGCTTCCTATGATCACGGTTTCAGTTTCTGGACAAAGACAACGCTCTGCATGTCATTTACCTTGACTTGACAAAGGCTTTTGGCACAGTGTTGCATAATATACTTGTATCCAAGTTAGAATGTTATGGTTTGGATGAATGGCACACCATCCATCTAAAAATTTGCTCATGAGGCTCATAAGAGTAGAGGTTAATAGGTCATACTTTATCTGTAAGCTAGTAACAAGTGGAATACTCTGGGTCTTTTCCTGCAGCCTGTCCTGCTTAGCATCTTTATCAATGTCCTGACTGCACTTTCATTGAGTTTGTAAATAAACCAATTGGTGTGCGATTGCTAATGCACTCAAGCTGTAGAATTTAAGTCTGTCCTCTATAGGGACCTAGACAGGTTGGAGGAATGGGACAGGAGAAAACAGTGGAAATTCATCAAAGACTAATACCAAGTGCTGCCCCTGGCACAAGGACACAGGTTGATGCTGCCTGACTGGGAGCAGCTC